TACTGTATTACCGAGGGGGTGGGGGGGGGTTTGTTGGATGTTGGGGGGGCGTGAGTGAAACTAGACAAACTTGGGGGGTGCATGTCCTAAAAGGTTGAAAAACCCCTGCTTTAAGCACCTTGTACGAACCCTGCTATTATAAAACTATTTTTGGTGCAAGAAACCAGTGAACTTCAGGAGGAAAGAACAAAATGACTCTCTATTCCCACAAGCCTTCATCTCCTGTCTGATCCTCCTCTCCCTCTGTGATCCAGTGAGCACTGCTGAGCTGCTGGGAATCTTGGATTACAAAGATGGGGTTTTAGTTATCATGGAGAACAGCAGGAGGTCACTGCACTTTCTAATAACTGTGGATGGTGTTACTAAGAGGGACGACTCGGAAGTTCACTTAAACGGGCAGAAATCTTGCTCTTGTGCACTTGGGAATTTAAATTTACACACACACAACAGCCAATCCTGCTAAAATCCGGTTTGCTTTTTCATGCTTTCCTAGTTACACACATGCAGCGGCTTTCGCTGCCTGACTTATCAAAAGTTTTCTGTTCTTACTAAACTTGGATAAGCACTTACAAGTACTACATAAACCCCTAAATAAGTCCTATCCAGACTTTAGGCTTATTCTGGCCAAGAATCACCCGCTTAGACAGAAAGAGGGCGTCTTTAACCGTCAAACACAGTTAGCTTTTCCTTAATGTGACATTTGGAGGCGGGTAAATCTGAAATCGGATGAAAACAAAGGTTGGCTTGCTCACTAAGTGTCTCAAAATGACAACTTTTGACTGTCTTTCAAAGATTCAATGTCAAAAACTTGAACAAATGCATGTTTAGTTCTTCCTGAAGCAGACCAGTAAGTTTGTTTCCCGGTGCACTGATATAAACCTGTGCACTCTGACTTTTGGAAATTGCGTCAAGCCAGGCAATCAGATTGGAGTTCAATGTTTGAGAAAGCTCTTGACATTTTTTGTGTGCAATATGCAGACGGTCAGTAAACAGTCCGTGGTCACGCTGTCTGAGCCCGAGACTACGTATGTCCCAAGTAAGCTCTCCACTTATGAAATACTGCATAGCACACCAACAAGCTGTGCAATGTAGGAAATTGAAAGGAGATTCTAGTGCACTGCTGTTTAGATGAATATGCCTGCAGAATATTAAAACACTCAACCATGAAATGTGTCAACCTGTTCCCTTGAAGCAAGACCAGAGAGTTTGTGTCTATATACATTTTTAAAAAATAGTTTAAAACTATAAACACAAGTTTTATACTCATCCTCACATCGAGTCAAACCATTAGTTAAATTTTTCAAAAGAAAATGTTTAATATTTTTATTTTATTTTAATTGTGCTTAGTGAGAAACATAGTATAAAACATGCATTGATTATTTTTATGCATTTTATTTCTTGAAAACATTTTGAATCCACACTACCATTCAAATGTTTAGGGTTAGTACGTTTTTTTTTTTCTCGAAATAAATTAATACTTTTATTAGGCAAGGGTGCATTAAAATGATCAAAAGTGACGGTAAAGTCTTATACATTGTTACAAAAAAATTCTATTTCATATAAATGTTTTTTCTTTTGAACTTTCAATTCATTACAGAATTCATTCCTTAAAAAAATATATCATAGTTTCCACAAAAATATTAAGCGGTTTTTAACATTGATAATAATAAGAAATGATTCTTGAGCATTAAATCAGCAAATTAGAATGATTTCTGAAGGATCATATTATAACTGAAATAAAATGCATAAAAACTATATAGACCTATTTAAATAAATTTAGTGACATAAATTGATTTATTCCATATTTAATAAATAAATAAATAACAAAAAGACAACAAAATTATTAAAAAATCAAATCAGAAAATAAAAATAAATAATGATTAATGAATGCCGAAAATTCAGCTTTGCATCACAGGAATAAATTACATTTTAAAATATATTCAAATAGAAAATATTTTAAATTGTAATAATATTTTACAATATTACAGATTCACTGTTTTTTTAATCAAATAAATGTAGCCTTGGTAAGTGTAAGAGACTCCTTTAAAAAACATTTTAAAAAGCTTGCAAGCTCAAAATTCTGAACAGTATTGTACATAATGGTACACACTTGCTATGGTTATTTTGTTAAAAATTACCGACTAGCTGTGATGGAAAAAAACATGTTAAATAACTAACATTCTACAAATGGCAGATGCTATGACTTAAAGTGCATTCAAATTATACATTTTATTAGTAGCAGTGTCCCTTGGGAACCAAACACCTTTTGCATTCCACAGGAAAAACCTAATTTGGTTCAGAAGACATGAAGGTGTGTAAATGGTGACAGAATTGTCATTTTATAGATGAACTATTGCTTTAGCGTTATATATATGTGCTCTTGACGGTCAGAATGAACGCCTATTTGCACCTATAGAAGCCTCACCTCTGAAAATAGTCTGTCAATCAAGATTTGACAGACAGGTGTTCTTATGAAAATTTAATATGAGAGAACACAAGAGGAAAAATGCACAGCTGCCCACCGCACCACACACGTTTCTTCTGATAACGAGTCAGACGAGCCGACGGAATGACAAAGAGGGGAAGAAAGGAAAACCAGCTCAGTGGAAGAACAAGTGGAAGATGTAACAGGCGTCACTCAACGTGACATCAGCACCCTCTAAAATGAAACCCCCTGCGTACAGTGTTAAGCAATTACAATGACAAACTAGCAGAATGTGAATGCAATTAAATCACCAGTGAAATTCATGAAAATTTAAAAATTAGTACATCAAACAAATCTGAAAGTTAACCAAAGTGAAATGTGGTCAACTCGGCTCAGTTATAAAACTGCATATCTCTAGTGACGGCTCTCTGTAGTTACTGTGATTCTGCACGATCTGTATAACGTGTCAGTTTTTCTTAACCCATCCTAATTTGATCTCCTTTGAGGCCATATTAATATGGGAGTTCAGGGACTTCAGTGCAATCTGTTATTAACTAATGCACAAGTGGATTGTATCTGTACAGTAAATAAGCAAAGCAAAACACACAAATAAATACGGAAGCAAACAAAAGCTCTATTTCTGGTTATGAAAAGCATGATTCTGGTTATTTCCAAAGGATTAAATCCACAGGATTATCCCTGTTTCCTTCCACTGGGCTGCCAGAAGATTAGGAATGTGGGTGGAAAACACAAATGCATAGCCATTGGCTTTAGGAAAAATTATACCTCAGTTGATGGCATTATATAGAAAATGTCTATATTTTACTCTTGGCCCTAACTTCAAAAGAGACAGTGTACATATTCAATATCAGTTCACATGACGACGCTAAGAAAAAAAGTGCAATGCTCTTAAGTTCTTACATGTATTGTAAACATAAATGAGACTTGCAACAAAGAAATGAGAGCTAACGAAGAAGTCATGATTTTCAGTGAATAGTTGAACATTTCACATAAAGCTATTGTATGACTTCAGAAGACTTGTATGTAAAGCAACACTGACTAGTTTCATGGTGCTTTTTTGTCACCATACTCTTTCATGCTTTCAAAATAGCAGTTTGAAGCGCCATCTACCATAGCACAGATGAACAGCAAGAATAGTCTATACTAGCTTCCCCACTAACAAACAAACAAATAAATAAATAAAACAGCTATAATCCCATTAAAGATGATACTTTCAGACTTTTCAAAATAACATTAATGCATGCATGTTTGATGCATCAGTGCCAGGGTTATTATCATTAACTAAAAACATTAAAAAAAATTAAAAATCCTTATTTGAAATAAAATAAATGTCAACTGAAACAAAATAAGATCTAAAACAACTTAAACTTATTAACTAAAACTCAAACCATAAAAAAAACATTACTTGAATTAAAATAAACATTAACTGAAATAAAATATAAAACAACTAAAACTTATTTTATATCATCTAGTTGCCAAAGCAACATTTCTTATTTTTGAAGTACTAAAATAAAGTAAATAAACTAAAACTAATACTTAATAAAAACTACATGGACATATATATATATATATATATAAATAAAAATAAAACTAATGAAATAGACCAAAACACAACAAAACTACTAAAATAAAACTTTTACTAAAATGACTATGAAATTAATATACAGTACATATATATATATATTATTTAAAAAAAGTTATTTAACTTATTTAACAAAATTTAAATTTAAAATTATTTAAAGGGATAGTTCATCCAAAAATGAAAATTTGATGTTTATCTGCTTACCCCCAGGGCATCCAAGATGTAGGTGACTTTTAACAAAAACTTTAACATTATATCAATTATGCTAATATACTCTGATCTGTGAAAGTCTCTCTGCAGTACCTGAAGTCTGGGATCCCTGACGACGTGCTGATTCCAGCTCCTGAATGCACCACCATATACTGCGACTCCCTGATCCACTGAGCCAGTGTCTCCACTTTAGCCTTCAGCTCCTCTGGACTGTCAAACACCTGCAAACACACACACACACACGATCAGACTCCTGACCTGCACTACAAACAGCCCAAATGCTGTCACACTAGTGGTCACTGGTCACATAAACAAATGTTCATAAACTATTTCAAATTACTCTTCTTCTTTTTTTCAAATGACAGTGCACTATTTATATTGTACATATTATTTATTTTACACATACTTGTAAACCTGTATTTAGCTGAACTTGAACTTATACTAAGAGTTTTTGTGAATGCACAAGTGGTTTTCATTATGAATACATGACCTTAATAGAAATCACTTACAATCGAATACCTTAGCAACCTTTCAGAACTATTCAGCATTCAGCATCATCTATCTCCAGTGGGTATAGAAAATAATCACCCCCCTTTAAAATAATCACATTTTGTTGCTTTGCAGCCTGAAATGAAGACGGATGCAGTTTTTGCTTCACCCTGCTGCACTTACTCAGTGGAACTTATAGCATCCAAGTGAAAGATAAACACCAACATGTCAGAAAAAAAAGAAAAAAAAATCACAGTTGGAAAAAGAATCACCCCCTTGTGTCAGTATTTTGTTGAACCACCTTTTGCCTTTTTGCTCTTTTCATGCTGAGTTAATCAAAATGAGCACAGATGATCACAGTTGAGAGTCAGTTGAGAAGGTGATTGAGAAGCTACACCTGATTGAGTTTACAAGTCATTTTTAGGAGGGGGGTGATCCTTTTTCCATAGATATGTATAGGTAGATTCCACATTCGACCACTCCAGACATGTTGATGCGTCCGTCCACCATCTTGGAACGGTCTATATGTCGTCACTCACACTAAAAATCAATGAGTTTCATGACGCAACAACATTGTGCAGCATCTGGTTGTAAAAACTGCCTAAGCTTAAAGTTCTGAACAAAGTGGACAAACTTTCAAAGGTAAGAATGTGTTGGTTTGTGTTTTTAATATGCATTAACTCAATATTACAGGTGTTTAAACTAAAGTCCCTTTTAAATGTCTTGTTAGCTAATGGCTTCCTCTTGTTGTATTTTGTTTGTTTAGAAAAAGCATCTGCCTAAGTCTACTGTAGATATAGATATTTATGCATGCATGCACAGCCTATAACTACAGTTGCAGACACACAGGGATCTCGCTCTCGAGTGTTCACGGACCGGCTTTGACTATTCCAATTTGGCAGACGGCTTACGTATAGCGGCCCATAGAAACAGCCATTAATAGGGCAATTACCAATATAGATCTATACAACAGATCTGCAACTCAGCAATTTTTTTTTTTCTGACATGTTGTTATTATATCTTTCACTTGGATTTTATAAGTTGCACTGAGTAAATACAGCTGGATAAAACAAAAACAGTGTCAGTCTTCATTTCAGGTTGCAAAGCAACAAAATGTGATTATTTTAAAGGGGGGTGATTCTTTTCTATACCCTTTGTATCCATATGACATAGTGCACTATTTATAAAATGCATATATTTTATACATACAAATATATAATATACATTTATATATTTATTTATATAATATATATATATTTACCTGACCCTTTTAAACTTAATTACCACTTGTAAACCTGTATTTTGCTGAATAATCACATATTTCTGTCTTTATGGTTTGTTTTGAGATGTTTAGACTTAAATTCACACACACACACACACACACACACATATATATATAATCTGATGAGCTTGTTTCAAAGCAGCTCTACAGAAAATGAATGTTTCTACATTACGAATAAGAGTTCTGTTAACAGGTGTAACTGTGCCAAAGTAATGGCAGAAATGTTCTAAAATTAGGCTATACAAATCATGCAGTTAAGTATCATCATGTATTCAGAAACAGTTAAATATTTACAGACACGATGAACAAATTAAAGCAATGGTTACATGATGTGATCACGTTGATTACAATGCAAGGAAAATTGAGCAGTTTTGTATGTTTATTCAGAGTCAGCTTCATCTGAAGTCCTCTCAAGGGTTGGCGTCATCTCTTCACAGGTGTTGGGTCATCTGAAGTCTTCGTAAGAGGCTGGATATAATCAGCAGGAGTAATCTACAGATTACACCACCAAA